TCAGTATCTAGAGATGCTCTATGTTCCTCAACTGTCATTTCAGCTACTTCTTTTCTCATATCTAAAAATTACAAACATACAAATTACAATAGTCATTTATTTACAATGCAGACAATTTGCAATATATTGTAGATTCTGAAAAATCGGTATCATCTAACTTAAAACCTAACCCAGTGAATACATACATTTTTTTTAGCATTTATATTTCATCCAGATAATAAACTCCAATGAACCGAATATGTTTGTGTGGGGGCCCATATAAAYGCATTATTAATTAATTATACAATTATAGACGCATTTAAAGTACACAAAGTATAGTATTGTTAATAATAATTCTCAGAGTAAGGTTGTAAGATAGTTAATTCATGAAAGAACAGAGCACCAAATGAAATTGAAACTGGCCATTCAAATAGATTGATTGACCCACCCCTTCAAACAACTAAGAAACAGCCTTAACTAATTATATATACATAATTTAATGATTTTCTTGTATTTAATAAAATTATAATATCAAGGCTAGGAAGTATATTTTATTATTATACCAACCCATCCAATTTTGAAGATAGTTCAATTGATCTACCTGAAGTATGTATACAAGCAAGGTGGGCATTAATAAATTAAAAGTTAAGTTAATTTTAACTTATTAACTTAACTTACTAGTTTGCTGGTTTAATTAACTTAACTTTAACTTTTTTTATCTACGTTAACTTAAAATCAACTTCTACTTTTTAATATTACCAATTAGGTTAATTTTGAATTTTTATTTTATCTAGAATATATTTTAGTCTGTAACGGTTCGTCAATTTAAAATTTGTAGAATAATAGAAAATATTATTGGAAAAAAAGAAGATATTTTCGTAATTATTTTTATAAATAACAACTAATATGTCATATTAATTAAGTATGTACTAATAAAATAATAATAATAATTTATAATATAGAGATAACATTGTAACAATGTGACATTTAGTTGTTCGTATGACCATAATATTATTATATAAGANATTGTAACAATGTGACATTTAGTTGTTCGTATGACCATAATATTATTATATAAGATATATCAATAGCTACAAGCTCACGAAGTCACGTTYAATAAAACCAGACTAGTTAGGTAYTCATTAATTATTATTATTATTATTATCATTACTTAATATTTAGTAATATCYTATTTTTTAATTTTTATGGTTGTCAATTATCTTGAATTGTGACCATTTTATTACAAAAATACCTATGTACCAACCTATAAATAGTGGTGTATTATAATTTGTGATTTTCACTTATTTTAAAACCTTTTCAATGATTTTTCTTTATTAACTTAACTTATTAATTGAAGTTAACTTAAGTTAACAAAATTTGTTAACTTAACTTTAAATTTAATTGATGTATTAAAAAATATATTAACTTAACTTTTAATTTAATTGAACAAAAAATATTTAACTTAACCGAGTTAAAAAAAATAATATTAACTTGCCCAGCTTTGTGTACATTGTGATTGAGTATCATAAATCTAACTTGCATCAAGATTCCCTCAAAGATTACTTTTAAGCAGAATACATTTTAATTGAAAATAGGTATAACTTTACAAACCTTCAATAATATCATGATTAATAGAATGTCTTGATACACCTAATACATCACTGGAGTCTGGACTACAATTCATCATTGCATATGTTAATGGACCATCATAACCTAATAATAATGCAACATGAATTAAATACACAATATAATAATTATTAATAAATACTCTGTGAGTGTAGAATATTATTTTGATTAGCAAACAGAAAATTAAAATTAGAATTAAGTATGTTAAAAGTATATCCAAACATATAATAWAATGCAATGTTTTAGTCATATTAATAAAATTCTTCTAAAACTAGAACCAACTAATTAAGAGGACAACTCATCAAAATATGTATGCAAAAAATTTCCTTTAAAAATATGTTTTCCCGGTAAAAGAATACAGGTTATTGAGTGGTTTTATAGATGTTTTACCTAGGAACAAAATTAAAGAGGGGATTAAAATCTGGTTCCATGAGAAGSTTGATTTTTGATTTTTTAAATTTTAAGTCCTAAAAAAGGCGAAACACAGGAATCATTAAACATGAAGTATTATACGAAGTTTTGCAATCAAAAATTGAATTGTTATAGAACCAGATATGAATCACTTCTACAATTTTGTTCATAGGTGTTTTTACAATAAAACCACTCTGTAACCCATATTTTTTGAAAGCGTAAAGTATGTTTTATAAGAAAAATGTATAAAATAACGGATTGTTGTGACGGCCGCTATATAGTGAGTATATGGCTAATAATACTATCTCTTGAGCGATATATGTCTACACATTTCTGTGAGACATCCTCTTAGACTAGAGGCAAGTTATAAGCTTAACWAATAACTATTGTTATCTATTGAAGTTTAGTATATTAGTATATTGCATGATATGAATAACTAGCTATAGAAATAAAAATATGGTTACAACCTAGTGATGTGCAACCAAATAAAATTTTAAACAGATATTAAACATTCAATATCCAAAGATCCAAATACTTAATATAAATGTTTTAAGTGCTTATATCAGTTTGAATTTAATTTAAACAATATTAGTTTGCAAGTAGAAATTGAAAACAAAAATCAATACATTTTTTCATTCAATTAACAATACTTACAATTCATCTCTAGTGGCCTAGCAGATTTTGGCCGTATTCTTGCACTTGGCATGACRTTGTCTGATGATTTAATAATCTGCGGATTTTGTCTGACCTGTCTCATTTTCATTTCCAACAGTTGTTTCTAAGAAGAGAAATAATTAATGATGAAATGAATCAAGTACATTTGTTTCAGAAATAAATCATTAGGTAGATAGATACTTGTTGTTCCAGCGTTTGGTGACGGATGTTCCTAGTAGTAGCGGACATAATTGCATGTAAATCACAAATGTAGACCACTAAAAAGTTACTAAAAGCAGTAAGATGTCACACGTCCAACAAAAATCAAAAWCCKATCACGAAAAAAATAATTTAAAATAACGTAAATCTGAAAACACTATGTTYTAATAATCTTCATTAAGATCTTTATTATTTTGATCACATTAATGATTAATATWAATTAAATTTTTAATACAAGATACAACCATATCACTACCCACTGGTCCCACTGTGCATATTTGGATTAGAACTAATATTATATTATATATTTATATTGTAAATTGTGATGTTTGGTAATCTAAGCAACATGTCAAAGAACAAACGTAATAGAATAATAATATTATAATATATTGTCAAGGACTACTTATAAATAATATTGTTGTTATCACAGATATAGATAATAAACTTGTTATTTTTTTTTTTTAATATAGTGATTAGCACAGAATACAAGTATCTTTAATACAAATCAGAATTCAAAAAACATTAGGATCACCCATAGTAAAGTTCATAATATACTTTACATTTTATATGATCTAAGGGACSACCAAATACTATAYACGATAATACAGGACACAGTGTCCTGGACACTACTAAAATAGTGATGAACAAACTTAATTATTGTTATCATTACCCCACGAGATGTTATAACGTTGCCTATTTTACTCCTTAATCTAGTATAAATTACAGCTTTTTTGACTATCTGTTAATATTATGAATTATGATTCATGGATTCATGAGTCCTGAGTTCATGACAAATTAGATAGGTACCTATCATCATAGTTTTTTGATACGCATTCTCCGCTCTTCTTCTAATTCACCTATATCGTTGTCCACTACTTCTTATTGGCTGTCAATCATATACATACATTAATCATTATTAATTTTCTCAGTTAATTGCAATCTGTAATTTTTAGATCCTTATAATGGAAAACTATTCTAAATAATTAATTCATAAAAGAACCAWAAAAGGTGCACTTAGTGGTGTATTTTCAATAATTTATTGGGGTGGTGGAGGTTAAAGGTCTAATTATCATAAAACCGGTAATAAAATATTGATTTAACATTGAGTAATTTTTTTTTTCTCTGAGGGGAGAGGGGTTTGAGCTCAGGAACTCCTTGTAAATACGCCATTATGATAACCAGCTTACAATGTTTTTTAAGAATGCATACTAAAAAAAATCAACTTAAGTTCAAATTTTGAAAAAAAAATGAAAAGGAAAGACCTGCATGGTAACCAAAGATATACACATTTCAAGAACCAAAAAAAAAAAAAATGTAGAAACAATTATTGATCATGAATAAACACAGTCCGTAATCTTTAAAATCTTAATTAAAAAAAAATCCTAATTATAAGTTAATCATACAACTGTTACTTAGAGGGCAGAAGGTTAGTAGATAATATGTAAAAAGCTCGAGTAGGTACTTACGATTAAAAGAGTAAAAATAAAAAAATGAGAAGGAGCAAAAAAATTCGTATATTATATTTTATTTTATGTAATAAACGATGGCGACGCTGTTGACGTAATGCGCAAGTTCCGGCAGTGTCGTCGATATCACAAAAAAAAAAGAAAAAAAAGGTTAGGTTAAACTAATTAAACCCATTTTAATCAAACCAAACATTTCGTATACCTCGGCTATAGTTAGGTGGCTCACCGCTCGTGGCTGTTAAATGCTGTCTACTACAACAATCAATCAAAAGTGTATACTTRGGATTTATGATTTAAAGTACAATATAAATAACAAACAATTAATATTAGGTATTTTAAATAAACTCAAATTTTGAAAACATTCATCACTAATCACTATACCNAAAAATAAGTCAAAAATTAAGTTCTAAAAGTTAAGGTTGTAATAATTCCGATTTTGTTTCATATTAGTAGACTGAATGGATTCCCATCCACCTCTGATTATATAATTTATAGGTACATAGTATAGATACCGATGATACCGTACTTCAATAATTTTAAGATCAATTAAATAATGTTAAACATTCGGGTGGTTCCAGAGACTTCCGCAAACCCACACATTTTTTTTAGGATTTTAGGACATTTCATTATTTTATATAGTTAGAGTGATATTATTGGTAGGTTATTTCAGAATAAATCAATAGGTTACCTAAATCTTTTATCACATAATATTTTTATAATTGTATTTATATTCCGGTAGGTAATCGAGTTTAAGACTAGGTGTAGTATATAACTTATAATTTAGATTGTTATTTTTGTGAAAAATATATTAATTATCCAACACTGTGTAATGTGTATAAGGGCATTTAGAAGGAGAAATAATTTGAAAAACGTTTAAAAAATTGTGGACTAGTTTATATATGATTAAATTTGGTATGAACTCGCATATTTTGGTACGTTGAGGTTATTTTCATAAAATTATATTTCGATGCTTTCAAGTTCAGAGCGGTATGAAGACTGACGAAGATACYAGATAGTTGTTTCATCGACTGTAGAATACTGCACTTCGGCACTCTAAATATTTTTTTTTCGTATGGCGCTATGTCCGGGAGTAGGCCCGAAGGCCTAGTTCGGACGCCTGTTTGGCAGAATTTCTATTGGGGCTCCCGTAGGTTTCTGCCATGCCCCGGAATGGGGGATGGCGGCACTTATTCTCCGGACACCGTGACTTGCCCAGAGAAAAATGCCACCCGATGGTCGAGGATCGAACCCGGTCCGGCTGAGCCACAGCCGACGCGTTAGACCACTCGGCCACCTCGTCCCCCACTCTAGATATGACACAGCAAGGTATCACCAGAAGAGTCGATTTTCACGAATCACGAGTAAGTTCGTTTTCATATTATTTTAAGGATTACATTTACTTTTTAGACTCAAATTAAATACCTATTTATTGACGCAGAAAATCTGCTAAATGATGGGTGACGTATTATTATGAGGATATATAAACGAAAATGATCAGACCATAGCGTTAATAAACGGTTCGAGCATAATCAATACACCAAAACTCAACAAATAAGTCTTGACTACGGCGCCGACAACAGTACGGATTCGGACTGTATAACCATTTTRTGCAAATACAAGTGCTCAAGTTTTTCGCGYTTAAAACGTCGAACATTCTAATAGGGGAAAGGGGACATTTTGGAATTGAATACGGGACAAATAAAACATTGTGATCCTATATAACCATTACGACTATGATGACCGTGAATTCAATGATTTGCCGTTCGAAGTATCCGAAAGTGTTCGGGAGACGTAATGGCTTGTAATAACGCTTAGACGAATAATCCGCTCAACTTGTTAAAGCGATTCACGCGAAAAGAAATCTCCAACCCCGAAATCGTCTCTTATTGGTAGCGACGAACGACAGATTTTTTCAGCTTTAGATGCGTGTTCCGGGATAAATATAATATTACGCGCAAAACGCAAACATGAAACATCCGTACAATATATCGCAACCATCATCCAGGAATAACGTCGTTCGACTATATAGTCTATATGTCACCGATCCACACGATAAAACAATGTACGATTTAGTRTGTAGCTAGCCAAAAACAATKTCGAAGCTTTTTGTATAGTATACCTAACGGTGAATCAATGTTTGGTGGCGACGCCTTGTCATTGTTGAGCATAGTACAAGTAGAAAAGTAAACGAACTCGGAATAACGTATCGGATGAATGGAACAGTCAATTCTGCATAATTTCATATTATCTTCTTCACGACAGCTTTTATTACGATCGAGCCAGCTCCTGATAGGACAACAACTATAGTAGAATGTTTGTCGTGCGTTACTGTTCCGTCGCCGACCGCACACCAGAAATCGACTCGTCTATCGTTAACTTTKTGTGTGTGTACCTATTGTRTATWGACTATATAGACGTGTATTGCGGTTACATACGGTCCCTTACTATTTATTATCGTTATACGTAATAATAGTGTGAATTATGTATTATTTATAATATTGTATTAAACCAGCAATTCAATACCAAATGTTCGCCTTATTATAAATCCTTTCATTCATTAACTTCAAGTACACGCCTACATAATTTATACACACTACCCGCAGGCCGCATACTAGCACTCCAAGTTTTGATCGGCGAACCCGTTCACTTCTCCTGAGTCGCACATATACGTCATATAACATACACACATACAAACAGATCGGTCAGTGTGTCAGTGTGTATACCGAATCTTAACAATATTCGTGTTTTTACYGAGTCGTCTGCGGCGTATAAGCGTATTTTTCAATGTAATTTCGCAGTCGCTGCCAGCGTCGTCTGTCGTCAGTGTACACGGACACTGATTTGGCCGATACTATGACTCAGTTCTACTACCTGCAATATCGATGTCATCACTATCGGTATCGGAAAATGTCGCTGCGCCTCTTCTGGTCCTGCGCGATTTTGGCTGTTGACAGCCTGTCTACGCATAGCTCAGCGTTGTAAACGCTCAACCGAAATTGATAGTTGACTGTCCACAGCTATTCCAACTCGTTGATAAGCTGTGTCGAATTGTTTAATGTAATCACGGCGGCTATGTTGCTGTTGTTATTAAACTTGTCAAAAATATTGTTACCAMAATCGTACCATTGACCATGGCGGGTGYCCTGGTTCCGCGTGACGCTCTGATTCGAAGCATTCGTAGCGGTGAAGCTGATGATGCGGACGAAGGCGATCGCAAAACTCCACAGGTAACAATACGGTCCGACGGCATTCCATATCACGATCATGTTTATTATCAGCTAAAAATTATTAATTACGATTATTATACAAAACACTTAATACAAAATTATATTAAAATTTTATAAATTCGATGTCATAATGTACCGGATAGGGYATTGAACGATTAATTCACATATATTGCAGCAGTCGAGCCGACAACGTCCGTGATCTAACATTTATGTGTAAAATGAGACTTATCAATAGATAGTGTATGATAATAGTGTTTTAATATTGTTATTATTATTGCTTAGGTATTAATTGTAAATAATACATAATTTTTAAGTTGATAAAATATTTTAAATGACATTATATGAAATATTCTACTTTAATGC